AGTTTTATATTTGTGACACTATTGCCTCTTCTGCAATACGTAATTTAGAACTGTTATGCTACTAGATCTGATTTAAAAAAAAATCTACGCTATTCGACATTTAATCAGTAATTGCTAATTAGTAATTTATTTTCCATGGGTTTCAGTTAATACAAAATCAAAAATTTATGTTTTAACCTAGTCTTATGTGTTAAAAAATATTCTTTTTATAATAATAATAATAATAATGGTGATTTATTCATTAGGATCAATACAGATCATTTAACACTTCAAACATAGAAACAAAGCACACGTAACAGTGACATAAACATAAACATAAATATGTGAGCATAGATATTATGCATGTGTGTATAAACGTTTTACACAATATATGTACAGAACATATAGAATATTAGTCAAATGAGACATCAAAATGATATACAATTTGTAACTCGTCGAGACTGTAATACTCCCTATTTATGAAATATTTTTTAATGTCGCGTTTGAATCTATTATTTTCACAAATATTTATTAATGACAGGGGTAAGGTGTTATATATTTGTATCGCTCTGTAATATGGTCCCTTTTCGAAGCAAGTTGTCCTATGTTTTGGTACACCTAGGTTAATATGACCTCATGTTGTCATCTTGGAGTAAAGATCTCCATTCTTTGTAAAATTACTTTGATTTCGTCGGACATACATAATCAACTTATACATATACAAGGAGGTAAATGTCATTATATCGAACTTCCTAAAGAATGACCTACATGATTGTCGAGTTGATAAGTTGTAAATAGTTCTTAAGACTCTCTTTTGTGCCACAAAGACTTTATTCCAATCAGGGAAGACAAACCAAAATATGATACCATATGTTTTCTCGTTATTATCGTAAGAATGCATAGGCATTTTTCTGACACTGACGTTTCGATACATTTAGCAAACTTTGATACAATTTAATTTTGAAAAATTTTTTGTAATCCAGATTCAGGTGGAATCAGTATTTTGGGTTGCCTATTTTAAAAACATAAATGGGTCATCTTAGCTGAATAACCCTGTATATGCTTTTTTCGAAAATTTTCGATAGAGAAGGCAATATAGAAATGGGCCTGTAATTGTTAATGTTTTCTATACTCCCTTTTTTATAAATCGGAATGATTTTTGCTGACTTCAGCTTGTTGGAAAATATCCATCTAAGACGCACTGATTTATTATATGCGCTAAAGGTTCGCTTATATAATCACAAACATTTTTTTATCACGGATATTGGAATATCATCTATTCCACAAAAATGTATGTTTGGTAGGGCATTTATTACTCTTTTGACTTCATCGGCTGATTCTGGGTTGAGGGACTTAGTATTATTAAATAGTTTTTTGGTAATTGTGTGGATGTTAGGGTTCTTGGTATTTGTAACTAAGTCCGGCGGTTGAAATGATTCTATGAATTTATGAGGAAGTACAGCTGGATCAGTAATTATTTGATAAGTATCTTTTATATTCAGCGGTTTTGTATAGTAGTAAACAGTAGGTTTTGGAATTACCATTACCCTGTTTAGTAACCTTTTTAAACATTGCAAAAGTAATTTTTGTTTTGTTTTTGGAATTATTAATTATGGAATGGTTTAGACTTTTTTTGTATTCATTTAGGAATTTCTTGAAAATTTTCCGTTCTAGTTTTAGTTTTTCCAGTATTTGTTGAGATTTTGTATTAACATACAATTTATGTAGGTCATGAATGTAAGTAGACCAGCTTTGAAAGTACGGATTATTTTTTTTAGACCATTTTTAGTTATAGGATTCATACAAAGGGGATAAGCTTTATCAAACTGATATTCAATTATTCTGTAAAATTTCTTAAATTTAGGTTTGCTGTCTAATACATTACACACATTGGACCAGGATTGATTGCTAATGGCTTCGAGAAAGTCAGATTATTTTTTAAACTATAGAAGTTTCTTATATAGACATGCAGATTTTCAGAATTATTTGCTTCAATACTGTCTTTCAAGTCAAAAACTCCACAATAAAACAACTTTTTAAAAAGTAGCTATCTAAAAATAAATGTAAAAATGCTACGAAACGACATTGTGATTAATAAATCTCTAAAAACCAATTCTAGAAAATTATTTTATGCAATAGAAGAAGCCAATCAATAATAAGTTAACATTCTACCGTCGGCGAGTTTAAAACTACTCCAAGTTCTTATTTTCACATAATGCTCACAAAGTTTTGTAAACTCTCCTTTTGTATTTATTGTTGCTGTTTCTGTTTTAAACCATAAGTTATCTACACGGTTTCTATAAATGATTATAGAGTCGAAGTAGGTTATGAATACGTGCCGCCTCTCATATTTGAACTTTACTAAATTCCTAAAGACGCATGACAAAGACCACACGCATCTGTATAATTGTTTGCCTAAATGTTTCATATCTTATTAAAAATCAAAACTAATTCACTACAATAAAAAGAAACAAATTTATCGCCATTAAACATCACAGTAAATGTTGAAAATGTTCACCATTGTGTTCAAGATACATGTTCACTTTCTTTTTCATTTCAAAAATGTTCTGTAATCCTTTCGTCAATACCCATTGTTCAATTTGATGGGGAACTCCTGACTGCTGAGGAAATCTATTCAAAGCTTTAATGATAAATGATATGACAGGTTACAAATGACAGTAATGAAAAGTGAGAACTGTCATAATGAGGCAAAATTTCAGCGAAGCGGGATTTTTGACAACCATGGCCAACTACGCCCTTAGAATTTTTATAAAACCCTGTATGGTATTATAAGTAGTAAGTATGGTATTTAAATGGAAAGCATTGAAGACTGGACAAATATGACAGTCAACACTGTTTGTTCAATTCCTAAAAATCGATCAAAATTTTGCTAGATAGAACTTCCCTTGTCCCTAGAGTACAATTATTAAACGATCCTGTAATTAAGATAAATTAAAAACACTGATTTTACAACTTTTATCTTTTTAGTATTCTCTATTATATTGACTAACTATTTTTGATTTAATCAATACACGTATCTCATTTGTTCATTCAGTTTTTAGACATCCCACATTAACAAGGCGAAAAAGCACAAATATATCACAAAACGCAAACAACGTTGAATTTCGAAGTACATTTTGTAACAATTATTATTGTGTAAACTATGTAAAATTTTGTTGTATAATAGGGATCTTTTTTCCTAAAAGTAGCGATAGATTAATAGATCTTAAGCAAAGATGAATATTTTGAAGGGATTTACTTGGCAAAATTTTGAGATGGTGTAATTAAATTTTTGGTGGGAACGATTAGAGAAATTCTAGTTGATGCTTTACTATCTACACGACATTTTTAAATAAAAGATTCACGACAATCACTCCTGTAGTTTTAGAGAATAATTGTATAATAAAATTGCTAACAGATTACAAACAGACTGAAGCGGGAAACACTTTTTCACATGTCAGAAAGTATGAAACATTGAGAAAATATGAAATTAACAATTTCCCAAATAGATCCTGCTACAGGATTAATTACGTTTGAAGTGTGTTTGTACACAATGATATTTAATTAATTAATATTACTAATTAATATTGAAAAATCGTTTCATCTCAATCTTATTTGCTGCTCATTTCTACAAAAAATTTTATATCGAACGTTAAAACAACTGTTAGAAGAATTTATCTATTGAAAATTTTTCTCAAGATGAACATCTGCCATATGAAGTGTTGACTACATTCACAACGCTGTTTTCAACACTGTTTTCAGTTTACAAAACTCTAGAAATCGTACCAGATATATTCGACATTTTTTAATGGAGACAAGATATCGCAAAAAGAAATTTCCTTTTACTGTATCTCCCTTCAAAATAAAAAGCGACAATGTATTTGATACGATTTCTAGAATTTTTGTACGCTGAAAACAGTGGTGGAAGCCGCGTTCCGAAATCTCCATAAATAATTATTGCGATACTGACTATTAAAAACACGTGATGCAAACATTTCAACAAAATTAAAAAAATTAATGATAATTAACTGTTTAAAAAAACTGCCTTCGCATTATATGGTGAAAATTGCGGCCAGGCTATATTTAAAATTTCATTATAATAAATATATTAATACATTCTGAAAAGAAGAGCCAAACGTAGCAACTTCTCTTTTATTTCAAACGTCGGTTGTTACTTCTGACTACCATGCACAAAAAATATTGCAAACACGAATTTGAAGTAATAAAACAAAATATATTTTTTTGCATATATTATTCCTTAGTAAATAAACACAGATTAATGACAAGGAATCCTGTTTTCAATTTTGAATATTTACCTTCTCAATAAATCCAGTGGCAGATGCCTGTACTGTGTAATAATAATTCTTCTCCTCAATAATTTTTTCTTTCGCAAACAGACACAAAGTAAACAGTACAAAATTTGTTTTTAATTTTAACTAATATCAAGGTGAAAAAAAAACGTTATTCGTCTGAGGAACATAATACACAGAAATCTCCAGTAGATGTTGAGATAATTTTGCTGTTTTTCACTTCGTCAAATATAATTTCACAACTTACTGTTTTGTTTGTTGATTTTTAGCACGTACGTATTTTCTTTTTATCCTCACAAATATAAATATCCTTATAAAAAGAACAAAAAAATAGAGAGAAATCTTTCGTTTCGTCTCGTGTTTTAGAAATGTGTCCACACTAGCGGACGATGCAGAATCGTGCAACCGCAGGTTCCAAAGACGCGGAGGAAATCTTTCAACATGGCAGAAAGTTACGTGGTTCAATCCTAGTCCTAGTAAACGAAATATCAACAACAATAGCAACGAAATTGCAAGTGAATTAAGTGAAATAAGAAAACTTATTTTTTTTAAATGAGCCGACCACTACCTTCCCGTCGTACATTAATATGTTTACCGTACCGAGAACAAGATTTTTTTATGAACTGAAACGTAAAGGGGGTTCCCCAACAAAATTGGGGCTTTTATGAACCAAGTAAAAAATCCTACAAGCATTTACAGAAGCTCTCTTACCTGCAGGTACAATTTCAAATACGCAGGGCTGTTCTTGCTTGCCTACATCATTAGTGGCCCAACAGGACAGTGATTCCAGGTCGTCCGTTGGGGTAAAATGCAAGGTTGACACGCCCCCATTGTTTAGCATTTTCGCCCCCAGGACGGGAAGGACACCCTTGCTCGTATTGTAAGTCCAGGAAAAGCGAACATCTCCTGGAACAGCGTCCACGTGACACTGGACGACAAGTGTCTCGTACGGGACCGCACCGACCCTCATAACTTTATAACCCTCTCTGCAGCGGGGAGCGTCTGAAAATAATTATCCATTTTTAGTTTCCTTTAAACGAGGAAATTCCCTTACTCATCCAAAGTTTATAATGCAATTTTAAATATTCACAAGCTATTTTGTAAATATTTGAGGCGTGTACGCCGCAGCTGAAAGGATAAGTACTCATGAAAACATTATCAAAAGACAACGGCGCTGAAAATTTCATGAAATGAATCTTTTTTAAATTAGCCAGAAGGGTGTACACGAAAACGCGTGCAGAGCTGCGAAATTAAACAACATATAACATTTATATGAGGCGCAGGAGACGCAAGACTGTTAAATTTAATTGGTTTAATATACCTTCTATGCACGTTGTTATCGTTAGAGATCCGATTCATTCTTGCAATAATCCCAGTTCACTTTTTATTAGAAGATATAATTATTTGTTTAATTAGAATCTTTCGAGTTCTATTAAAACAGAGCATTTTATTAAGAAAGCGAAATTCGTTTATGGTTAACCTAGTGCAGTTTAATATTCTAATATCTAATCAGATTTTGTTACTTTGAATATAGTAAGTAATTTGAAACTGTACAAAATGACAAATTTCAGTAAAATTCGGTACTGAGAATAATAAACAAAATTTGTATTTGCTAAATAAAAATTTTGCCATGTTTGATAGAAATGAAAATTTCCAACTTTCAGATATTGTGTCTAATAATCCATCTTTTTCTATGCCACTTGTATCTGAAGAGCTTCTTGTTACCTTAATGTCAAAGTTGGGTAATAAGTTTATTGCCGGTGATGACCTTATTCCAAGTCTCATTATTCGTGATGCAAGATTTGCATTTTCTCAACCTCTTATGATAATCTTTAGTCTCCCCATAAAAATTTCCACTTTCCTGGATCAATGGAAACGTGACACCAATTTTTAGAAAACAAAATATTTCACAACTGGTTAATTATTATCGTTTGATTTCAATTATTTCTATTTTTGTAGAAACATTTGCGAAGGTCTTTTATACAAATACCTACCACAACGTACGTAAATGTTTCATTACGTATTTTTAAAAATTAATATCTCTATTATTCATGGAAATTTCGTAACGCTGTGTTGGTGAAAAACCACGTTTTGAAATTTCTATAAATAATTGAGATATTGATTTTTAAATATACGTGTAAAAAGTTTCACCAAAAGTTTTAAAATAGTGACGATGGTAAATGTTTTTAAAAACACTGCCGCTGTATTATAGAGAGAAATTTTGGACAATAAGTCTGTTAATAATTAGATATTATATTCTGAAAAGGTATTGAACAAGTGAAAACGTTTTTTCTAGAATTGCTTATATCGAGTGTCCCAAAAAATTAATTATAAGCTTATAAAGATTTCACCAATTGAAGTAATGTCAGGAGTGGAATATTAGCTAGGTAGGCAGTAAAAATTCTCTTATTAATTTCTCGTACCTGCTACAAATTTTCTGTTTTAAAAAGCGCACAAAATAAAAAAAAATAATGTATTTATTTTGTTTAAGTAAATACCTGTGTCAAGTTAAAGCTTCACATAATGTATTTACTAGTTAGAAATTTTACAACCACAAGCGCCCTAAATTTGCTATTATTTAACCCGCGTTTGACATAAATATCTACACGCCTATACAAATATCCTGTACTCCACAGCACTTGACTAGTTAATGCTGCAATGAATGTTATAGGGATATGCAGCTTGCTGGTCTACTAATGCTAATTTATTCAAGAAACATTAATTATTCAACGTCGACCCGAAATAAAACAGTCTTCCTGAGTTTTTCAAGTAATTAAAGGAAATTGTTTTGCACGTAGTAAATTTTCCATGAGGGTTAGGATTATCACGTCATCCGTTTACTTTTAATGTTCATCGAGTTTCCTGTTTAAAAACAGAATACATAGAGCGGGCTAACATTTTTGGATCTATTGATTAAGTTTTTTATAAAACATTAATCTTGAGTTTCTCAACGTTGGAATTAGAGATTCGGAGAAACTTCAATATAGTTTGAAATTATAGTCAGAACGTTACAAAAATTAGTGGTAGGCGGAATCCTAGCGCAGGGACGTTTTCAAAAACAAAAAATTGGTCCAAGGTTACTTCGACAGAGGCATAAATAACATCCCTTGTCCTTCAGCACTAGGTAAAAACAATCTGAAGCCCAAGAAAATATCCCCCTATCCCAGTACCTCAATTAAAGCGATTTGTATGTTATATTGGAATTCAAATCAATTGTTTTTAGTTTAACTAGTAATTTGTGTGAAATTTTAAAATAAGTTATCTACTTCAGTTACTCAAATAATGTTAACAAACGAATCCCAAAGAGAACAAAAAAAAAATTCAAGAGGTTATATCGACCAATATTCGCGGCAACTATTACAGTTCTGCAAAGTTCAAGCAACCAGTTACGCTATGACTGAAAGTTTAAGGAAACCTTTGCTAAACTTTATTATCGGAAGCGTAAAGCTTAGGAAATTTTTTAAACAAAACGTCAACGTTTTCTTAGACACTGAATTTGTTGGGCCAGGTTTATACTTTTCTAATCAAATGCTATAAAATGTTGCGTACTTTTGTGTCGTAACAGATAATTATTATAATACAGACGATTTGCTTTAGAATTATTTTAAAATTATGTGTACGTAACAGTATTACTTAAGTAAAATTTTATCATTCAATAAAGCGCTGTTACGAGTTCATTATTATAAAAATATGTCATTAAATGGAAGAAGATTATGATGTCGTTAACAAAGAAATAGTAATGGCATCATAACTCTTTATTTAAAAACTTCTTTAGTGCTATTTACTTGAGTAGCAGTAAATTTTACAAATCGTATTTTCTTACATTACCGTAATAAAATAAAAATCCATCATCTCGAAACGCCCACGGTGTTGATGAAACAGTTGTTAATGACGCGGTGACAAAACGCTCTTCTTTTCCATTCGCATTGCTATCTGACGATTTCCAGGACAATTCCCGACATATCCTTACCGCTATCACAGACGTGTCCTCCGAGTTTTCTGGTTTCATAAATAAGTAGGATTTATTGCGACATGCACTTCGTGACTCCAGTTCTCAACATCACTTCTCTGCAGATGATGAGACTTTGTCACACACCCACTTTTCCGGCATTTATCATTTCTTACAAGAAAAAGCAACACTGAAAGAAATATTGTTCTCCCAGTTTTATCACAAGATGATAAAAAGAAAATAATGAAAGAAAATCCGTGTGGACGGCAAAGAAACCGAAAATTATTTCGTCCTAATAATATTTCCTGTAATTAAAATATTTTCAATCTGATAGAAAACATGCACAAGGGAAGTGTTTCTCAGTCCTCGATTGTTGTTTTACGTTCTACACAAGATGGTGGTTGATAAGGTTGGCGCAATCAAGCAAAACATCAGTAATTAACCAAACAACACGAGTCTGTAATTGTTTTAATGCGTGCTGGACAGCAGAAGGTTCAACGGAACTAGCCATCAGGCAGGCGTGCAATTGAATGAAAAATAGAAAATTAGAAATGCATCGATGGCCTTCAGATGTGTTGCATCAAATTAGAAAAAAAATTATAGAACCCTGTGTTATCAAAGTGTCCCTTCTGCTGCACAATCATCGTGAAGTATTGACCTTAAAAGTACAAACTTTAGTGTAAAAACAAAAATATGCGTACAAACATGTATTACAATAATTAAAACGAATATATTTTTGATTATTCCCTTATTTTTTTTAAAGGATTTCTCAATATTAATACGGAAATACTTATGTATTTATTATTATATTTATACTATCCAGATTTTTGAAAAAAAATCAAAATTGTATGACAACATTTGGCACTTTAATTGTTAACCTGCAAAGCTGAATGCTCTGAAATCTCGCGGATGTTTCAAAGTTATCGTAATTATGGTAAATTTTTGATCAAAATATCGTCATCTCAAAATTTTGCCGAATTAATACTATCGAAAATGTTCAAAATATGATAAATCTATACTTGTGATTCATCACTCTATTTATAGTATATTTAGAATGGCTTATACAGGGCGAGTCAAGGAATTAATGAAGGCGTCGATTTATGTCATTGATTAAATTATCAGCTTACTATTATTATTACATCACTTCCATCTAAATTGATGTACCCGTCCTTGCATAAATGTTGATAAAATCATCACAAAATTTTGTAAAGGAAAAACTCATTTGAAACATACGCGTAGCACACTTCTTTATATTTACCTTAATATTTCATACATGTCTTTATTCAGCTTTAACGTTTGGGTTGATGTTTGTTGGCGGATTTATTTTCAGGTTAAATACACACAATTCACCACCTTACTAAAATAATTACTTACAACAGAAACATATGAATTTATCGTTACCTGTAATTTTGAAAACATGTATCTAGATACTAATATTTGTTTCATTTTGATTTTAATAATTAGGTAGCTATAATAAATAATTTATCTAAATAAAAATATTTAAATAATGCTCAACACCGATTTTCTTCTTAAAAAAGCAAATAAGTGCTGCTAAAATATTTCCGCATTTTCAGTAGTTTTTACTAAATGAGTACTGTTCATTCAATTAATCAGAATATAGTTACGAAATAAACCCATACGCCGCCCCGGTACGACACCTATGGGTTTTCAAGTATGTGCGGCGATGATGGGTGACTCATCGTCGGTGACGGCGGCTGGATGGCGTACGCTAATAAGTCGCAATGGGTACTCCAAAATAAGCCTAGAAGCGGTGACGGAGACCGCTCGTGAAGAACCGGATGGCAGTTTAAGTGGAAGTAATCAAATCAGTGAAGTCCAGACAACGGAGTCTAGTCAAATTCATTCCAGTCGAGTTGAAGTTATTCTGTACATAATCGCTATATAGTTAGTCGTGTAAACCAATATAAATGGGAAATAAATTGTTCAGTTTTACCCACGTCGATTTTAAATTACTATCCCCGTAACACTGGTGTCGGAAGTGAAATTTAAAATTAAAAAGTAGTTTTACGACGAATTACGGGCAGATTGCACA